AGTGGTAGAGTGCTAGCCTTGAGCTGAAGAGCTGAGGGACAGCGCCCAGGCCCAGAGTTCAGGCCCCACGACCGGACCCAAAAAAAAAAAATTCTAAGTGAAAACTGAGTGCCGGTGGCTCACACCTTCATCCTAGCTACTCAGGTGGCTGAGACGTGGGGGAACACAGTTCAAAGCCAGCTAGGAGAGAAAAGTCTACCAGATTCCATCTCCAATTAACCAGCAAAAAGCTAGACTAGAAGCATAGCTCAAGTGGTAGAGCGCCAGCCATGAGCAAAAATAAGTATGAGCAAAAGTAAACTAAGCAAGTGTAATATCCCTGAGTTGAAGCCCAGGTACTGGTCAAAAACAGAAAAAAAGGGCTGGGAAGGTAGCTCAGTGGTAGAGTGCTTGCCTCGCATGCAAGAGGCCCTGGGTTCGATTCCTCAGCACCATATAAACAGAAAAAGCCAGAAGTGTTGCTGTGGCTCAAGTGGTAGAGCACTTGGTAGAGCTGAAGAGCTGAGGGACAGTGCCCAGGCCCAGAGTTCAAGCCCCACAACCAACAAAAAACAAAACAAAACACACAAACAAACAAAAAACAAAAAGAAAAATCAAAAGTGGTATGGAATTGACCTGAATGAAGTGTGTGTGTGTGTGTGCATGCGTGCGCGCACGCATGTGTGCATGTGCACATGCTATGCATAGACTTTCTGGCAGGCTTCAAACCTACTCTCAGCCTCATGAGTAGCTAGGATTACAATCATGAGCCACTGGCCCCCAATCCTGAAGTATATATTTTTACTCTAAAGTGGGACTAATGAAGGAATTTTTGGCGTACAATGAAGGAAAACAGATGAGACACACATGAGAATCTCTGGCAACACTTGGATAACGTACACTAAGAGGTTGACTGACCCCTTTCTCATCTAAGGAGGGAAGAAATTGGATTGGGTACAGGTGTTCAGTACCTGTCACATGCTATACAGAATAACAGAGACAAGGTGGGCTGCTTCAATTGAAACCTTATTGGAATTAAGTCATGGCACTTCTGAGGAACCAGCCGGTCTTCCTACCTCCTGCCCAGGTTAAGCTTATTCACTGTTGACCAACAACACCTAGGGTCCTGCTTTAGAGATGGATATTATCCTGTGCTTTTCATAAGGTAGACAAATAAGAAAGGAAGGTGGTTAGGGAGCTATCCTATGCACTTTTCAGCAGTGTCTTTGGGGAATACTGGATACTAGCAGAAAACTTCTAAGGCTATTAGATTTACTGTGCTGTGAAACCAAGTGTACCTGCTTGTAGCAAGTTGTAGACTGAAAGTAGAGGCCTCAAACTCCTTACTCTTGTTTTAGAATTCTAGATGTCAGCAGCTACCTTACAGCAAGCAGGAAAGAGCAAGTCAAGGCAGAGCTAACCTTAGCTCTGAAGAGTGCCCCCTGCAGGGCTGGGCAGGGCTGAGAGAGTTTGCTTGAGAAGCATCTGAAGGTCCATCACTGACCAGCCTCTCCTGTGCTGATAGGGAAGCAGAGGAATGGGCCCCCATGTACAGCCCTTCTAAGGTATCCATAGCCCCTTCTCAGCTCCCACTGCAGTTCCCTGCCTCCATGCCAGGCGGCCTTCCCTCATCTCAACACCTGATGAAGGAGATAGATTTCCTTTCCTTGAAAGTGATTTTACCACTTGGCAGAGCCTACTTCAGAAAGTCCATTTCTTGTTTCCTCTCCCCTTCTCTTCCTAAAGACACAGATCATACCCATTTGTAGAAAAAAAAAGGAGTCTATTAATTTATAGAACAGATCTACACACACACACACACACACACACACACTCTTCTATATTTCAAGGGAAATGGAATTGCTCAAACCTGGCTCAGGCAGTTAATTGACTGAGCAGAGCTCTTTCCAAGTATTTTGGAGCTGTGAAATGTTTAAGAGAACCTTAGGAGAAAAGGATCCAGGGGTAGGCAGCCCAAAGTTTCATGGCCCCTCCCACCTCCAAATTCTTGGAATCAGAAAATGTAGTCATCCGAAGTAGGTCAGCTCAGCAGTCAGCAGCTCCTCTGGAAGCGAAGGGAGCAGAGGCCTTGTCCTGATAGAGGGCAAATTCATCCAGGGCTGTAGCTGCTGGAGCCCCAGGGACACCCAAGGGAGGGAAGGTGGGGAGACCAGACAGGCCTTTTTCTTGAGATCTGTGGCCCTGAATGATACTACACCAGGATGGGCCCTCTCCCTGCTGGGAAAGGGGGCTTTCAGTCCCCTGACCTAAAGAGGAGGAAGGGAAAAGGGAATGTGGTGCCTGAATTAGCTGGGGGAGGGGCTTGCTGCCAATCCAAGAGCCTTGAAGCTGCCCCATGTCCTGGGCCCCATGACCTCTGGGGCCTTGGCTTCCCGAGCTGGCAGAGGATTGGGCCTTCCCTGGGCGCCCCCCTTCTCCCTCCTACCACAGGCCCATCCATCTCTCTCTCTCTCTTTCTCTCTCTCTCACACACACACATATACACACACATACACACACACACTTCTCAAGCATTTGTTGTGCAGTTCCTCTTTGTCTGCTGGGCAGGAGGGCAAAGGCATCCGCCTGGCCCTCCCTGTGCACCCCCTAGCCCCCACCCCCTGCACTCACTGTCTTGGGGATGCTGTAGCCTAGCACCCACCCCCCACCATACACATTTTCTCCTGCCCCCTCCCCAAGAACATCCAAGCGTGTTCTCCTCTCTCTCTCTCTCTCTTTTCTCCCTGAGACATACACACACGCACACACACACACACACACTCCCTCTCAACACACATACAACCCTGGGCTGAGCTGTTCTTGCTGGCTGCAGCCGTGGGCCCCTGCTCACCGTGCCGCCACCACCACCACCACTACCACCGCCGCCGCCGCCACTGCTGCTGCTGCTGCTGCTGCTGCTGCCTGCGAAATGACGGCGGTTCCCCTCACTTCCAGGAATCCACGCTTCCTGGAAGGTGAGTGGCTGGGCTCACCCCTGCCTGCCACCGAGACGCAGACATGCACACACCACCCGCACTCCCTCGCCGTCTCCAAGGCGGCGGCCGCGTTCGCACCCCAGGGTCTCACCGGCAAGGGAAGGATAATGTAAGTTCAGGCAGAAGGCGGCCAGTGGAAGGGGGGGAAGGGGGTGCTGGGGCTTAGGGAGCCAATTCAGTAACAACTCCCGAGCCCGAGGAGAAGGAGAGGATGGGGGGGGGCGGCTGTGTTTGTGTGTGTGTGTGTGTGTAGTGTGTGTGGCGGGGGAGGGGGCGTTCCTCCTTCCACTTGCTGGAGGATGGGAAAGGGTGTTTGGTGTTGCTAAGCAAAGACTTGGACAGTGGGAGCTGGTGGTGACATCTTGATTAGGCCGTGGGGAGAGAGGTAGAGCTGCCTGGTGGGGGGGTGAAAATGCTGAAACAGGCCTGGGTGGGAATGGGTAGTGGGGAGAATTGAGGGGAAGCAAAGAGGAGCCTTGACAGCAAATGCCTCAGCCTGGCACCCAGATCTGAGGGTCCTCAGCCTCCTCCCCACAATAGAGCCGAGAATGGGCGTCTTTCTTTGCTCTGATACCCACTATTCCCTGCTAGCAGGCGAGCAAGCATCCTCCCTGCCACCTGAAGCCCATGGTCAAGAAGGGAAAGCAGTGAGGACGAGGGCCCCTGGCAGAGAGGTGCAGAGGCTCACGCCCCAGCTGGCAGCTATTCCTAGAGGCAGCCACTACTCTCTGAAGGGATCGAGGAAGGGCAGCAAGAGCAGAGGGCTAGTCTCCTTTCACATGTGAGACACATTTGGCTCCAATGCTTCTTCCCCGTTCCTTCCCTCCTGCTTTTTTGCCCTTTGCCCACCTTCTTCTAGTTTCCTCTGGTAGAAACCTCAAGGATTTTTAGCTTGGCTCTTTTGGGGATTTGGCTAATCTATGATGACTTTGACCAAGAAAATGTCTCTGAGACCTGAGAGCAGCCTACATTCTTAGCTTTGACGGTCTGGAATTCCTTGGAAGTCCCAGACATTTGAAATTCCCTCACTGGGGTTTCTGGGGGCTGAGAGAGGAACTGCTAAATTTCCTACATCTGACTCTAGTCCCATTCACATCTCTGGCTAGAAGTCAAAATCCCTAGAGCCCCACAAAAGATTTTCTGCCCCCCCCCACAGAGACACATTCTTATGGTTTTAGTCCCATGATAGGAGACTTGAGCCTGTTTTCCCTCTTACCTTTATTCTAGGGAGGTCAACAGCATCAAAGAGCCTCTGGAATTACTGGTGTGCCTCGAGGCTCCTGCTTTCTCAACCTGTCTCCAGGCCTTAATTGGGAGAGCCACAAAGGATGCTTTCCTCTCAGTGTCCCCAAGTATCCCTTGAAGGCTATTTTCCCCCAGATATTGAACCCCTGGACCCCCAAGGCAGCCTTAGCCCTAGTAAGCTGGGACCAGGGATGCATTCCCAGGCAGCTCATTCATCCTTTTAGGATCAAGGCCTCAGCACCTGACACAGATCCCTGTTCTTCCCCCCTTACTCACATCAAGTGATTGGAGCAAGTCAGCATTAATGTTTGAAAAGAGATAGGAAGATGCCCTTTTCAGCCCTCCTCACCTTAGTAAACCCTACACTTAATTGCAAGGGCATATTTCACAGTTGGGTCTGAGTCTACAAGTCTTAACCCACAATTCTGAAATGCTCATTTCATGATATATACGTGTGGTTCTGATTTCAGGCAACTTTCTTAAAAAATCATGGCTCACCTAAAGAGCACAGCTGGGGAAATGCAGATTCAAGCCATAAGGCTTTTTCTATAGATTGTGAACAAATTTCTTCAGGCTTTAATGGGATAGTATGGGGGAAATGGGACTTTAGGACAGGATATGAATGGGAAATGGTCCCAAAGTCCTGAGTGGTTGTTTTCTTCCCACTGACCAAAGCTGGAGAGGGATCCCTCAGGAGGGTGTGTTCCGGATTTCTTGCCTCAGGCCCAAGACTCCAACCATTTTATAATGGAATCTTTATTTTGTGAAAGTAAGTATGTGCATAGCTGGGCAATTGGGTAAAATACTAATAGGTGGACTTTAGGGATGAATTTTAGGATCTCTGTCTATCTTTCTCTCTCTCTTTCTCTGTCTTCCATATGTAGGCTTGTGTATACACATTCATGCATGTCCATGTTAGATTGTATAGCAGGCTGTGAGTGTGTTTATCTCAGTAGATATGTTGTCTTTATGTGTCTCTACATATGTGATCTGAGTCTTTGTGTGTATTTATCAACATGTATTTTTACCTCACGCATATATATGTGCAGAAGATTGTGGGGAGGAGGGATTTGTTTTAAAGGCATTCATTTTCAGGCATGTTATCTGATTTTTACAAATATTATGCTCTCACGAATGCATTTTTCCAAAACATTTGTCAACAAATTTAAATGAATATGTTGAGGATAATTTTTTTCACCTAACGCTTCAAAGAACACCAAATAATAAATGATAAGTATGTAATTAGAATCAGATTAGCTAAGAGGCTAGTGTCTAGAGTACTCAAATTTTTTGCTGGACTTAAAAAGACTAATGGGATCAACTCTCCTCCAGGAGAGTTACAAGCTGTAAGTGATGGTTAAGGACATGAGCACTTACTGTCTGTGATCCAGCCCCAGCTTCATCGCTACCAGCTGAGAGGAACATAGTTTCTTTTGTGTTTCTTCATCTGAAAAGTTGACATAGTATTAGCACCTATATCCTAGGATTGTTGTGGAGATAATTTATTTCAAGAGCATACATTAATGTCTGGCACATAATATGCACACAGTGAACATTAGCCACTACCATTGTTACTAGAGCTTTCATTCAGTTCAGAGACAGTTCGAGATTCCCTCCCAACAGACGCTGAAGCTGGTATTGGGGAGTCCAGAGAGGAGCAGCAGGGAAGAATTGTGTGTCCTGGACCATGACCTCCTCAGGCCCCTATTCTTCTCTCTGCCCTGGCCTGCCCAACACCAGTCTGCTTCCTGCAGACGTCAGGCAGTGATGCTCTTCCCCTCAGGCCTAAATAAAGTTGGGTAGGCGAGGCCCAACCATTAAGTTAACGGAAGGCAGCACTTGACACCAGGCTGGTGGGGACATAAGGTATGGTACCCAGCGTGTGACACTGCCTTGTATATGGCTGTAGAATAAATGCTTGTAAGATTTTAACTGATTTTTTTTAAAGATTAGGCTATAGACTGTAGATAGTGCAGCCCCAGTTTTACCTGCCCTTTCATTCTCTCCTCTAAGGTAGCGGGGACTCATCTCTGGAGAAGGAGTTCCTTGGGGCCCCAGTGGGCCCCTCAGTGAGCACCCCCAACAGCCAGCACTCTTCTCCCAGCCGCTCACTCAGTGGTAAGTACAACAGCCTTCTGCCTCCCTGCTGGCATTAGGCACCCCCATTTTTGTTGGGTTCTCAATTCACCTTCTGCTGGCAACCATTTCCTCATGGTCTCTTCCCTCTGTTTTCCTACTCAGAGTCTCTGAAAACATGAAGGAATCCAGCATCCAGGCTTTCCTGGCTTCTGGAAAGAGAGCCAATACTTACCAGACTAGAGTAGGACTATGAGGATAGGTGGCATTCAGCCTTTATAGGCTCCCAAAGAGAAATTCTGTTGCCAGAGAAGCAGGTCGGTACGAATGATCATTAGGTAGAAATAGGAAACAGAGAGTAGAAGTACCTCCTATCTCCCCACAATCCTTCTGCTGCCCAGGCAGGGTTCCCCTGACCGCCCCTCCCCAGCTGGCCCTAGATCTGTGACATTCTCTAAATTATTGGAATAACCAAGAATGTAGGTCAGAGCTACAGCCAAAACCTTCTCCTCAATGGCTCCTTTGGCTCCTCCCTTTCCTTGTATACCCCTAAGATTTGAACAGAGATGGCTAGAGGGTCCAGTCTTATGGGTTAGGAGGAGGATCGTGTAAGCCATGCCCGTCTTCCAGTTTTGCTCTGTCTTTGGCCTGTTGTCCCCTTTCAGCCTTCCTAGAACTGTTTTCCCGCCACTGTTACTTGCTGGCTTCCTGCCCAGGGCCAAGCCAGACATCTTTCTTAATGACAAGAGAGTGAAAGAAAAGGCTCCCCTACGTGGCCTCCTCTCCCCAGTGTCAGAAGACAACTTTTTTTCCCTTGGTACCTATTTGCCTGGTAGATGAGAGAGAAGGAAAGGTTATTTCAGGTTCTAGTAGGATTCTGGTATATTACTGAGGGAAACTAGGGTACTGGCCCCTCCTAAGGGCCTGTATGTCTTAGGGTCTAGAGACATGGTTGTAGGGCTTGAGGAGTGGCATTCTGGCCTGGGATGGGTTCCCTCTTGGTTTGTCTCTGTTCTAAACCTCATGCCCACTTCCAGCCAACTCCATCAAGGTGGAGATGTACAGCGATGAGGAGTCAAGCAGATTGCTGGGACCAGACGAACGGCTCCTGGAAAAGGATGACAGCGTGATTGTGGAAGACTCACTGTCTGAGCCCCTGGGCTACTGTGATGGGAGTGGGCCGGAGCCTCACTCCCCGGGTGGCATCCGGCTGCCCAACGGCAAGCTCAAGTGTGACGTGTGCGGCATGGTCTGTATCGGACCTAATGTGCTCATGGTGCACAAGCGCAGTCACACTGGTGAGTAAGCCAGAGTGGT